AATGTAGGCCTAATGGTTGTCTGTTTGCCAGTCATTCTGTTCTTTGTTTTTTGCTTTATTGTTTGTTCTAGTTTTTCCATGAAATACCAGCACAGAGATCCTTGCCTCTGCCTTTTTCCCCCAGCTTCTCCACAACATTACAGTTTTTCACTGGCAAATCTCTTTGACTAGTGCATTTTTTGAGCCTATATTTAGTATAAGTAAAATACTTAAGTACTGTTAAAATCAGATACTCTAAGACTTTTACTCAAGTTGTTTTGGAATTGGTGACTTGTAACGTGTAGTGGATTAATTTTCACTGTAAGGTATCTGTACTTTTACTCAAGTATGGTTTTTAGGTATTCTTTACACCTCTGTCTAATCCACACAGCCACCATATGTCTGCCAATGCAATATCGATGTAATCAAATATAGGCGGTGGGCCTTCTTTTATCACTAAATAGTCATCTTTTGTGGTATTTTCCATATTTTGCTGCATTTCCCTTCAAATCTTCCTACGTCAATATTTCCCTTCTTCTCATAACATTCAAATTCCTGATCTGCCATTAATTGTATTTTCCCTTGTGGCTTTTGTATTTTTTTTTTCTGTACTATTGGCCATTTACGGGTACGTATGCACTGTAATTCAGTTGCTTCTCTGTAGTTTGTTGTAGATTGGAGAAACTGGCACCAATATGGGCAATATGCCATTTTTTCAAAACATTTATCTCTCTGCCTCTTTCTATAAAGCATTTACCTCCCAATTTCACTACATCTACATCTTGCATTAGATAGTCCTGGACATTTCTTAAACCATTCATCATGAAATATTCTACAACTAGAACTGTGTATAGGTATATAGGAACTGTGAGTTATCTGCTTGTCTGTTTGCTTCTCTTTCCGTCCTTACTTTGGGAACTCTAGTACAGTGGTTTAGATGATACCAGGTTGTACTTCCCTCCACTTGGACTGCTGTTGGAGTAGCTCTCACAACTTTGTAGGGTCCCTCTCTCCTGGGCTCATTCCACTTTCTCCGGAATACCTTCAGATATAGTAGGTCACCTGGAACAATTGGACATTCCGACTCTGTTTTCCTCACAGGGCTCTTTTCTTGTTTCCTGTAAATAGATAGCTTTATGTACGGCAGTTAATTTCATATAAGATCAAAGTTCCAATTGCAATTGCTCTAGAGGAGGTCCTTTGTAGGGACCTCTACAATATGGCACAGGCATGGGTCGACCCGTAAGCATTTCATGCGGTGTAAAGTGTGTTTTTCTGTTAGTCTGCATGCGATAACTCATTAGTGCAAGAGGTAAAGCGTCAATCCAGTTAAGTTTAGTACTTTCACATATTTTGTTTAGTTTGGCCTTGAGGGTTCCATTTAATCTCTCTACCATCCCTTGTGGTTGTGGAGGGTAAATACACCTTAGTCTCTGCTTTATTCTCAATTGTTGCAGTACTTGTTTTACCGTTTTTTGTATGAATGACGATCCATTATCTGAACTTATTTCTGATGGTATTCCAAATCTAGGAATTACTTCTCTTGTTAGAAATGTAATTACTGTTCCTGCTCCCTGATCTGCTGATGGTACTGCCTCCACCCATCTGCTAAATCTGTCTATGATCACCAGCATGTACCTTTTGCCTTGTACTCGCTTTATCATATCCACATAATCCATTACCAGATGCTTGAATGGTACTTCTGGTACTGGTATATGGCCTATTGGTGTTGTTATTCCTTTTCTCACATTGTTTTTGGCACAAACTTCACATGTGGTCATAAATTCATCTACCATTGCATGTAAATAAGGAGACCAACATCCTTGCTGTTTAATTTTCCTTATCACTTCCCCCCTTGCGCAATGGTCAAAACCATGCGCATCTGAAATGAGAATATTCAAAAGTGAAGTTGGTGCAACAATTTGTCCTTCATGTGTACGCCAGATGTATTGTGTGTCTTTTTTGGCTCCTCTTTGGTGCCACATAGAATGTTCATAAGGGCCTGCTTGCTGTTGAATTCGAATAATATCGTCCAATTGAGGTTGAGGTTCTATAAGTACTACAGGTGTTAGTACTGCTACCTGACACCCTGAGGCTTTTTTAGCTTCCAAATCTGATGCATTATTTCCTTTAATGATGTAATCATTTCCTTTTTTATGAGCCTGACACTTGATTATTGCTAGTCGTTTTGGCATCATCATAGCAGAAATTAATTGACCTGGTCAAAACCATGCGCATCTGAAATGAGAATATCCAAAAGTGAAGTTGGGGCAACAATTTGTCCTTCATGTGTACGCCAAATATCTTGCGTGTCTTTTTTGGCTCCTCTTTGGTGCCACATTGAGTGTTCATAGGGGCCTGCTTGTTGTTGAATTCGAATGATATAATCCAACTGAGGTTGAGGTTCTATAAGTACTACAGGTGCTAATACAGCTACCTGACACCCTGAGGCTTTTTTAGCTTCCAAATCCGCTGCATTGTTCCCCTTAATGACAAAATCATTTCTTTTTTTATGAGCCTGACACTTGATTATCGCTAGTTGTTTTGGTATCATCATAGTAGAA